TTGGCCAACATTGATATGTCTACCAAGGTTCGTGTTTGGAGAATTTTGGGCGGTTTGGGCAGTGCGACAGCATCCGCCGCGATGACCCCAGCTGCTTCGCGAAGCGCTTCACCGGCGCCTGCAGCCTCGATTGTCGCTAACGCCGGTAACAATCTTGTGATCGATCTGAACACTTTCCTGTCGCTTTCCGAGGGTGCCCAACGGGAGTTGTTTGAGGACGCTAAAGATCAGACCGCCAACCCTAATTACAACGGTCGGATGACATTGGATCTTGCTGGACTCGGCGGCAGTGATGTCGTGGTGCTAGAGGAACGTATACCCGGTGGGGAGTGGGTCTCAGAGGCCTCTAAGCAGACACTTAATCGCCTTGGTGTTCCCTCCGGTAGTCTGAAGAATGGCCCTTCGTCTAAGCTGAAGAACAAGAGCCCTACTGCCAGTGGCCGATCATCTCCAGTACCAGAACCCGTTAGGGGACGGCGGAAAGACGGGAAGCCTCGCGGCTGCACGGGTTTAAGCAACCTTGGAAATACGTGCTACATGAACTCCGCCCTGCAGTGCGTACGAAGCGTTGAGGAGCTGACCTATTACTTCCTGAGTATGTATTGATCGTCGCATACAGCATTCCCCACCAACCATTACTGACGACCATGGTCTGTAGATGATGTGTATAAGCAAGATCTTAACCCCAGCAACCCGCTGGCTCACAATGGTGATGTGGCGAAGGCGTATGCCAATTTGCTACGTATGATCTATGACGAGGCAGGCCAGTCCTCCTTTGCTCCCAGGCAGCTGAAACATACGATTGGTCGCTACGGCCCAGCATTCTCTGGGTATGGCCAGCAGGACTCTCAAGAATTCCTGCTCTTTCTTCTTGACGGGCTACAAGAGGATCTGAACAGGATCCTTAAGAAACCCTACATCGAGAAGCCCGACTCCACAGATGAAATGGTTCATAATAAGGTGGCACTTACCGAGTTCGCAGACAAATGTTGGGATATTTACAAGGCTCGCAACGATTCCGTCATTACGGATCTCTTTGCTGGTATGTACAAGTCGACTCTTGTTTGCCCTGCCTGCGACAAGGTCAGTATCATCTTTGACCCTTTCAACAACCTTACCCTCCAACTCCCCATCGAGAATCTTTGGGGTAAAGAGGTATTTTACTTCGGCCTAGACAAGAAACCAGTCCGGTTTGATGTAGAAATCGACAAGAATTCTAGTGTCAAATCATTGAAGGAACTAGTCGCTAAGAAGCAAGGCACCGATCCTGAACGCCTGATCATGGCCGAGATCTTCAAGCGCAAGTTCTACAGGATGTTTGATAACACAAGCTCCATTGCTGAGTGCCAAATTTCTGGAAATGATGAAATTGCTTTCTTTGAAGTCGAGTCCGTGCCGACTAATTACAACCCGGACAAGCCCCAGAAGAGTTACTTCTCCTTCAGCAGGTCGGATCAAGAGGAGATCCCAAGTATTGACTCTCCTAAGGCTGACCGCATTCTGGTGCCCATTTTCAACCGTGTTGAACGGTCAAAATCAAAGCGGGACCTTTTTGGTGTGCCCTCGTACATCGTTGTCACTCGGGAGGAGGCTTATGACTTCGATGCCATCTATGGCAAGGTGCTTGTTAGGGCGGCCACGATGACCACCCGTGACTTCCTGAACGAGGATGTTCTCGGAGAGGACCAGCAAGAGGCGACTCAAGAAGATTCGGATACAGTTGTTATGAACGACGACGACGCTCAGTCCGCCGATTCCAAGATCAAAACATCTTCCGTGGACGGCGAAGATGGTATGGTTGATGTGTCCATGCGCGATGCAGACTCTGCCTCCCAAACTGGCGCACCTCGCTCTGAAAGCTCGATTCCAGCTCGCTTCCGGGACATGTTCGAACTGAAGATCATGAAGGGTAACGAGCCAGTGCCCCTCGGCTGGTCTTCGGTGGAAGACAACAAGGAATACCCCAAGATGTCGTTCCGTATAAAGACGAAGCCGGTTGCTCCACCAGAGGAGTCCGAGGAGACAACCGACCCTGCAGATTCAAAGGCCACTGAGAGTGGATCTGGTTCGGGTAGTGATGCCGATAACTCTGCAGACGTCTCTCGCACCCCGGCTCCAGTTGCTAGAGTTCAGATTCGACCTCTGGTTCGACCAGGTGAGGGAATTGTTGTGGACTGGAATGACGAGGTCTACGACGCTCTTTTTGGCGGTAACAAGAAAGACCGTGATCCTCTCCGCGGCCTCCCAACATGGCAGGACGTTGAGCGGGTGAATGACCCCGAGCTGAATAAGCGACGTCAACTCCGCCAAACCCGCAAGAAGAGGGGTGTCACTCTTGAAGAGTGTCTGGACGAATTCAACAAGGAGGAAATACTTTCCGAGAACGATGCTTGGTACTGTCCACGCTGTAAGGAGCACCGTCGAGCTAGCAAGAAGTTCCAGCTATGGAGGACACCTGATATCCTCGTCATGCACCTGAAGAGATTCAGCGCCAGCCGCGGTTTCCGGGATAAGTTGGATGTGCTCGTTGACTTCCCTGTAGAAGGCCTCGATATGAGTGGCAGAGTGGAAGCTCCTGAAGAGGGTAAGAGCTTGGTCTATGACCTTTTCGCGGTTGACAACCACTACGGTGGTTTGGGAGGTGGTCACTATACTGCATATGCCAAGAACTTTTTCACTGGCCAGTGGAACGAGTACAACGGTAGGTCCAAATCAGCCACACACATTATAGTATCATGACTAACATACGTAGACTCGAGTGTCTCACGACCTATTGATCCCCAAAGTGTGGTGACTTCGGCTGCCTACCTCCTCTTCTACCGCCGCCGGTCCGATCGTCCGCTCGGTGGTAAGATCCTTGAGGAGATTACCGAGTCATCTACCCGGCCGGCGAGTGAGGCTGGTTCGCCCAGCGAATCTCGTGGGCAATCACCGTCGGGGGACGGCCGGCGTCTCGGCGGCTCATCCCACAATGGGTCGTCGAGCGTCTTAACCGGAGTCGGAGCAGCTCACCAGGAGGGAGGTGGTGGTTCGCGAACCGGAACCCAAGCGAAGAACGGGGATGAGACCGCGCTCCCTGGATCCACCAATAGCCCCAGTTCTGGGGCAAAGAGCGTTGGTAAAGAACACCGACTGGAAGGTATGAGTTTTGATGAAGCCGAGTTCGGTGATGGAGCGCAATCCGATCCGTTCCGCTTCCCGAGTCCGCCCTCGTGGTCTTTCAACCGAGTCCCGGATGCTCACGGCCGTTCACAGATGACCACAACGCTACCGGGGTCCACCTCTGATGACGACGACCTGCTCGACGACGATGCTAGCAACCAGGCAGTTGGCGGAGGAGATTTCAGCGATTCGGACCTACGGCTGGCCTCTTTAGCGGACAGCCCCGGAGGTCACGGAGCGGCATACCCGGGGACCCCAATGGAGGAGACTCCAATTCAGGATATTCCTCCTCCATTGGATGCAGATGACGACGACGAAGACGAGCTGCCCGTAGTGGAGCTACGAGTAAACGATGAAGACCGGATAATGCCTGAGTAGACAGGCATTTTCTGTTTTTGGAAACGCGACATGAATGATACTGGTAATCTGGTCGCTTTGTCGGCGACATCATGATGCTCCCTGTGTGGCTGATGATCTCAATGAAGGAGTCTGTGGTCTTATTATAATTACACTTTCTTTTCGTTTTCGTTTTTGAAGAGTTCCCTATGCAAGCCCCTGTATAGGGATTACGTTTTTTCATAGCTCGGGGGTGGCATCTTCGGTGGGTTTGTTGCATATTGTGAAGAGAATATGGACGGCGGGATCTAGCTGTCCTTGCATTTATATTTTGTTTATGGAGGAGGACTTCTTTCCGGACCTCCACACCGTGTTCTAAAAGCATTTCTTTTGCCGGTCATGGTAGAGCAGCCCGGCTGCATTGCATGAAGAAATGTATTCGTTTTCTTCGCCATTTACGTGATGTACCAACGGATATCGTAGTGATAATGCAGTAGAGTTCTGATGAGACAGACATAAGATCGAAGATATGATCATATACATTGTACATTGATGGTCAAGGCAGTGCACCAAGCGACGCAAGTGATGATGTCCGAGGTTCTTATCAGATGCTGCTTTTATACAGTTCCGATGACTAGTCTCAGTCATCTGATGTCCACTCAACCTTGTGACGTCAATACACATTTTAGTACAATCTGGCACATCTCGCCTTGTTTGTTGTGGATTCTGATGCGTGGACTGTCTGTATGATCCGCAGGATTATCGTGACAGATACTCTGGATCTGGTACCCTGAGGCTGACTAGGCTCGGATATAGCCATTAGCTGGCCCGTATATTGGCGCCATGCGTAGTGCATCTGTCGACTTGAAACAACTAAGAGAAATTGATAGACTAAGTCGTGAACGATATTGCGTGATCAAATTGCTCTAAGATGGCTCAAGGGTTAAAATCAGTAATAGTTGAAATGAAGTACTTATTCACGAGTTGTTTGTAACTCGGATATCTCAAAGTACAGGATAGGATATACCATCTATTTACGACCTAGTACTACTGTTGAGAACCAAAGGGCAGGGGAGACAAGATCTCCTCCATCATCTGAGGTGGTCAGGTATCTGAGGCATACAGAGTACTCATTATTGCGACTATAAGAAAGTCCACTTCCTCCTGCCTAAACTAGGTTGTCTTATCTGTGATGTGACAACACTAACAAGATTATCTTAGGTGAATGAATACGCCCAGTTCCACCCCACTCAATTTTACAAGTGACTCAAAAATCGGAGTAACCTCGAAGTATACCTGCTGCCCCCAGACCCACGTCAGCCTTTCCTTCCTCCCCAGTCACTTTTCACCTGACCTTCCACCCTTGTCGTGTATACAAAACAACATTCACCAAACCAGTATCACCAACCAGGACGACCACTACTACACCAACCTCAATCAATAACCCACAACCAGAAAGCCACAATTCCTCTCACCAAAATATGAATCCGCCCAAAAAACGCCTTCAAACAAACCCCCACCACAAATGCCTCACACCAACCCCCATCAAACCAAAAGAATCAACCTTCTCCCCTCCAACGACTCCCGAAACCCACAGAGACAACCTAAGCGACATCCTCAGCGACAGCGACATCAGTATGCTCGACCTTGGCCCAAGCCTCTCCGCTCGCAACACCTCTTGCTACCAGTCACCCAGCACAACCAAGGCCCTCACCCTAGACGCCAAGCAAGCCTCCTCACCCATTTCACCGACCACCGGACATGGGTATTTACAGAACGACCCAACTATGGCCCAAGACCTAAAGACTCGATATACTGCCACATACCCGTCAATGAAAGATACAACACAGAGAGCGGATATCACGCCTAAGAAACTCAAGATGAGGGCTGGGTCTGTGAGGGGTGCTTTGAGAACTTTTTCGTCGCCGCTTTTGTCGCCTTTGAGGAGTGGTACTGGGAAGGTTGGGAGGCCGGGTGTTAGTCGGACGAAGACTTCGTTCAGGGGTGTTGGCGGCGTATTGGAGCGTTGAGATGGGGCCTTGTTCTGCTTGGATTGGAAGGTTTACCGGATGGATGAGTTGATATTGGGAATGGGCATTTCAGCGTTTGGTGAAGATGTGATGGGGTCTTGAGGCGTTGGTGATTTGTTACCTGGACTTTTGCTACTATTGCTCTCTTTTGTTGTGGCTTGGTTAGATATTAGTGGTGATTGCTGACGGACCGCGGTGGGTTGCTTAGGGTATGGGCGGTTGATGCATAGGCGCATTTGAACACTGTTGCCAGAGGTTGGGAGAAGATACTGAAGTGGATTTTTGTAGGGGTAAGGCTTATTGTCAAGTCCAGAAATCCTTCCATGATTCATATCCTCCAATTATATGTGCATGCTAAAGATCAAGCATTGGTAGCTGCAGTGTCATCGAGTAACTATTAACTTACACTATTAACCCTTGTCTTGATTATTCACATAATTTAAGTGTTAAAGCCGAGTTGCCTCTCGCGGAAGCCATTCCGCTAAAACGTATCAGTAGGATTTGTTTTTTATCTAGAAGAGCGGAATTTGCTTCACGGACGAAAATATAACAACTGCAATGAAGATATTTTGTCGAAAAAAAAAAAAAAAAAGAAAAACAAAGAAGAGAATATGAAAGCAAACAAAGCCACAGTAAATGATGAATGAGACATTAAGAAAAATCATTAGCTGTCTAATGTCTCCTGCTATATATTAGTACGGAGTACTTCGTACCCTAATCAGGTAACATACATGATTGTTCATCCAGGACCTATTATTTTCCGCGAAACATTTGTCTCCTATGACTCTGTTATCCATGCCAAGACCGATCATCTAGCACTAAGAGTCAGCTCATGCGTTGTTAAGCCAATTGGATCGCTGAATCTCAGCTACAGATCGGGGTGCACCGATCATGTCCCACTTCTCAGCCGTACTGTGCCAACTCAGCAGCCGGGGTAATAAATACCCTAGCAGCCTTAGCATCGACAAAGGCGTCACCTCATTTTATTCTAACAGCCGGGTCATGACTGGGCCTATCATGAGCGCCGAAATTACTAGACGCGGTGTCAAGGACAAACTGAAGATTGTCAAGGGCAAATTGAAAAGGTTGCGGTATCGAGATCACAGAACTGTAACTAACCCTGATCAAATCAGCCAAGGTTCTTCAACGAGTCTGGAAGCTCCGCTCGCCCACTGTCAAGAGACGCACGAGTCTAATGACAGGCAACGCGATGTTAAATCTCAGGCCCCGCACAGCAAGCTAAATAACAAGCAACACAATGCTGTCCCACAGGATAAGCCAAACGGGGAAAAATGTAACCAGTCCAGGCGACGGAATCAATCTATAGATGCTTCTTTGACCCAACCTGGATCTGTGCCTCCTACAAAACCAGATCTGTGGCAACGTGGTTTTATTGACCTCGAGCCAGAAAAGCAACAACTTATTAAGTCCATACCGTTGCCAAAATATAACAAATCGGTCGAGTGTAACAATACCAATATCAATCCTGATATCGTGAGCCGTTTAGAAGCACTCAGTAGGGTAGTCAAAACTGTGAAGATCCAATATAAAATTGATCAAGAGAAATCCAGAATTAAAGAACCAGCTTAAAAGATTATTAAGGCTATTCTTAGCTTCCAGGACTTTATCCAGGCAGCTGTAATATTTGACCCAACAGGATATACAACTAGTGTCTGGGCAGTTATATCCCTAGGATTAATAGTATACTTATCTTTTCCCCTTGAAAATATCAAAATATTATATAACTAATAGATAGAACTCAAGCTGACGCAAAACTATCGTAGTCAGAAAGTGGCCTGGTTAGAATCTTGTGTCTTTTTAACTAATATTCTTACCCAGTATAGCTTCGTGGAGGACAAATATAAAAAGGACCCAAATACCGATAAGTATATCGAGACAGCTCTTATCCAGATATATATTGTAGTTTTAATGTTTGCTGCCCTAGTTCAGTCACTCTATAACCACAGCTGTACTGTCTGGATTTGGAAAAGTATATCTGGGAATTTACTTTCTGAACTCCAGAAATCTATTGAAAGGGCAGGATTATATCTATACCGATAGCTTCAGATAGTTGACCGGTGTGAATATAAAGAGAGAGAAAATAGACTTCTTAAAAAGACAGACAAAATACTGACCAAAATTGACTATGTACTGGACTCAGTCGATGATATCTACAACAAAATGGTTCTTGTGGAGCTCAAAGTTACAGAGGAAGCTTATTATAACACATATACCGGAGAGGAGTATTAAGAATGTTTGCAAAAAACGTGAACTGAATTTCTTAAGGATATCAAACAGTGGGCGACCGATTCAGATAGGCAAGCCGCATTTTGGCTGCAGGGTATGGCAGGAACAGGAAAATCAACTGTGTCACGGACAGTGGCTCGGTGGTTAGATAACAAGGGCTTACTAGGAGGCAGCTTCTTTTTTAAGAAGGGCGGAACAGACCGTGAGGATGCTAAACGACTTTTTACTACCCTTACCAAATAACTAACAGAGAGATTACCCTCTTATCTCCAGCAGCCTATCAAGAGGGCAGTTAGGGACTTGTGTAATATTGGAGGTAGCAATCTACAAGAACAGTTTAATAAACTGCTTTTAAAGCCTCTCAAGAGTCTTAATCTTGGCTTAAGGACTCTGTTAATACTGGTTATTGTGATCGACGCTCTGGATAAGTGCTAAGTACTAGCTGATATTGCGGCCTTCCTCTCAACTTTGCCCAAATTGAACGATATGAAAGATGTCCAACTACGAGTGTTTATAATCAGTAGGCCAGAACTGCCTATTATCAAGGGGTTTCGACAGATCAATAAGAACGAAATCGTTCTCTATAAAGTTAAGAGGTCGACTATCGAGTATAATATCTTAATCTTTCTCCGGCAAAAGTTTAATGGAATAAGAGATGATTACAAGCTTCCTTAAGACTGGCCTGGGAATAAGAATCTCAAGGCTCTAGTCGATATAGCCGTTCCACTATTTATTTATACAGCGACAATATATCGGTTTATTAATTGTGATAGAGAACTACTAAATGCCCGACTTCAAGCTATATTATCCGCACGCTCGATGACGGGATGGAGAAGATTGATAGTAAATACTCAAAGTTGACTGATATCTATTTCCCAGTCTTAGAGTATATTGTAATACAGAAAAAGCTGAAAGAACTAGAGAACTGGATGGACAACTTCTACCGAATTGTGAGTGCTATTATTCTTCTCTTCAGCCCACTTTTATCCGTCTCCTTGGCCAAGCTTATTAGTCTTGACCAAACAAAGGTCCAGGGCAGACTGAATTCTCTCCAGTCTGTTGTGTCAGTACCTAAAAACTGTGATGCTCCTATTCAGCTTCTTCACCTCTTGTTTCGCGAGTTTTTGGTTGACTGTTCAGCATCCGATAAATTTTGGAGTTATGAACCGGCAGGTCATATGCAACTTGCAGAGTATTGTCTTCAGTGTATGAATCGAGAACTATACAGAGATATATGCCATCTTTCAAGCCCAGATATGAAAAGAAATAAGATTAACAGGGCTGTGCTTGAGAGAGATGTTTCACCTGAGCTTCGATACGTATATCGATACTGGATACGCTATCTAGAGAACGGTAAATATTCTGCTATAAACTGGACACCGATAAAACACTTCCTGAAGTTGCACTTCTTGTATTGGTTGGAAGTGATAAGCCTTTTTGGATAGGGTCCGAAAACAATTCACAATATTACAGCTTTGCAGACACTGGTAAAGGTCAGTACTTTGGAAATCGAATTAGAAGATTGAATATTGACTGGCAGATAAAGCTATCTTGGCTAGCTAACTTTTTACAAGATATAAAGTGTTTTGTTCTGAAAAATCTCCAGATTGCGGATGAAGCGCCACTTCAGATTTATTACACAGGTCTGGTGTTTACACCCCAGATGTCAATTGTCCGGAGGCAGTTTGAGGCAGAGTTGCCCACTTTTATATGCCAGTTGCCACGAGTTGAGCAAAGATAGGGCGCAGAGTTGCAGACACTCGAGGGCTATTCAAACTGGGTTCAGTCAGTGGTCTTCTCGCCCGATGGCCGTCTACTAGCATCTGGCGGAGAGGATACCACCATACGGCTCTGGGACCCAGTGACAGGTACACTGCAGCAGATGCTCGAAGGCCATTTAGGCTCAGTTTTTTCAGTAGCCTTTTCACCCGAAGGCCGGCTGCTAGCGTCTGGCTCGGATGATAACACTATACGGCTCTGGGATCCGGCGACAGGTGCGCTGCAGCAGACGCTCGAGAGTCATTCACGCTCGGTTCGGTCAGTGGCCTTCTCGCCTAATGGACAGCTACTAGCGTCTGGCTCACTTGATAAAACTATACGGCTCTGGGACCCGGTGACAGGTGCGCTGCACCAGACGTTCAAGGGCCATTCAGGCTAAGTTCGGTCAGTGGCCTTCTCGCTCGATGGCCGGCTGCTAGCGTCTAGCTCAAATGATGCCACTATACGGCTCTGGCACCCGGTAACAGGCATCCTGCAGGAGACCTTGAGAACAGTGCAAGTAGTCACTAAACTTGCGTTCTCCGAAGATGGGTCACATCTTAGAACTAACCTAGGATCCCTTCATATTCAATCTCTCAACGACTATCATATCTCCCACTCACCTAAGTCGAACCTAGAGATATACTTAGTGCAGGGGGACTGGTTAACCGAGAACGGAGAACAAGTACTATGGTTGCCTCCTGAGGCTCGGCCAACTTGTTCGGCACTTAGACAGAATCAAGTTGTCCTAGGGCATGCATCAGGCCGGGTTTCATTGATAGGATTTCGGGTACAATAGGTATTGACCAATTCAGCTTTACTTACTATATTAATCGAACCTCTTTGCAAAGGGAGGGCCTTGGAGACACAGGGACTTTAGTTAGACTTAGTTATAGAATATGCTATATGCTTCCTTCCTATTCCACATTGGTGAATCCATTCAGTCTAGCCCCCACGGGCCTATCTCGCTAAGGAAGGCAAACTTTGAACACTTTGCCGCATCTAATCCTAGCCTTCCTTTTCTGGTTAATTCTATAACCAGGGGACAACGTTTATATCAAGATCATATTATCTGTCTCGGGGTTAAAGCTCAAAGTCTTACTTTCAACCGTACGTATCAGGCCTATGAAATTATAGATAACTACACGTCGATTAAATTCTAGTGTAGTATATTAATATCATCGGCTCATTCTATTCTCAACTCCCGATTCAGTGCGAATTTGTATTTCAGGGCTAGACACGCCAACTAAGCCACACCTAATTTCTGGACTACCTAGCTTCTTGGCGACTGGCTCCGAAATGAATGAAATTGTGCAAATCGATGAAGCTGGTTTTTCACCCGGCTGTAAGAGATGGTACACTTGCCCGGGTCCTCTAAGACCTGCCTATGGATGACCCATCCAAAGTTGCCGTTCACGCATCTGTATGCAAATGCGAGGCACTACGACAGGGAAAAAGCGCCAGTATAGAATAGGCTGGTAAGCTAGGCAACCGCAGATCTTGTGCTGACTGAGAAGATCGAGAATTGGTTGAGGTGTATAGCCACTGCATTTCCCAGTAGTCTGTCTTTTGCTTCACTTCCACCAGTAGCCAGTTTCCCCGTCCTTTCATGCCTGAGAGTAATACCAGGGCCTTAACCCAAAGGGTCCATGTTTGAATGAAGGCCTTAAGCCATTTCAAGGGCATGATATTTAAGGACTGCCCGCTGTCTTTATACCTCGAGGCTGGTGGGCTCTTTACAAGAGACTTCACGCCTTCTTGCACACTGGGTAGCAAGGATAGCGATAGCAGCATGACCGATAGTCGCTCCTCTCTCGTCACTTTCTGAAAACTCTGCCGCCTCATCCTCTGAGGCTATGAGTCCTCGAAATTCGCCGAGCGAAGCGAACAAAAGGCAGAAAGCTTGGACACCATCGATCCAAGATATAACGTATTTCACTAGCGGGATGGCCACACAAGCGGGATAGCCACCCCACGCATTTTGACCACGGTGGAAAACCTCACCCACTTCAACCACCAA